AGAAACATGGCCTGAATTTCTGGAAGGAGCTGCAGATCTCATCTTCATGTAACCAGTGAAAACACCACATCTAAGTCAGAGACACTAAGAGACTCAACCAAGCTCACACAGTCACCAATAGAAAAGCTGGAACCCAAAATCAGGATTCTGAATTCCTATTTCTGTACTCCTTTAATTAAACCAATATTTATTGTTATTAGCCTGCTTCTATTTTGTAATCCAAACCTCAAAGGCTCATTTTTGAGCAATAAGGTCAGACACACATTCAAATCCCTCTGGTAAAGTTCTTCCTTTAACTTTAATCTGAATTGCATTTAGATGACTTGGATGCAAAAGGAAAAAGTAGGATTTTTTTTTCCTCTTCCCCCCTCTTTGCTTTCAACATTCTGTTTTGTTGCCATGTAGCTAATATAAAGAGAAATTATATGGTAATGGTGGTTCTGGCAAAATAAAACCCTATAAAATCAGTTGAATTTGTTCTTTTTACAAATGTGTTGGCTGCACTTCCACACTGTGGCCTCTGATGCTCTCACCACATTTGTGATTCATCGCTAGAAACAGCATAGCAGTTCAGTTACCATAACAGAAGACACTGGTGTTGGGAATGTTCTAGAAGTAATTGTCAGCTCAGGCTACACCTGAGACCCTTTGTTAGCCCAGATAGCTAACATTATAACTCACCAAAATGAAAAAGTAAATTTTTGAAAATAATTGCGTGAAGCTAAATGAATACTGTATCATGTGTAGGTTACATTTAGAACTAGAATTTTACTCTAGGCATTAATTTATAAAGATAACCTAACAGAGGTTGTAAAAGATGGCTAAATAATAAACTGTAAAAGATGTAAAAGATTGTTAAATATTAAACTGTCATTTTCTCTAATGCGCTGAATCGGGTAATTCTTAAGAAAAAATGCACACTCAATGAGAAGCTGTGAAATATGACTATTTTGCTGACCTTTCTCTCTGGTTTGGTACAGAGGCACTCTGGGATCATGATGAGGCCAAGAGAGTTGGTATGAACCATCCTTTAATCTACCATAACTTAAATAATCACTAGAAAAACCTAGAGGGTTTGCCTATTTGGCTGGTAAGAAATATCCACTAAAAAATATCCTATTCTTCAGTTCTCTCTCAAGAAGAATTTTGTGTATATTATTCTCTGAGTTGTAGTGACATGGTTAAACTCCAGAGGACAGACAAAAGGTAGCCAGGGAGCTCTTGTCTTACTCAGTCCTTATCTTGTTATGTGACTCTTCGGGTACTGCTTAACTTAACTCTTTTGCTTCCTTTACCTGAAATGGGAAGTGAAGATATTTACTCAAATCCTGATAGACATAGAATAGAATCTTTCCCCTCACATCAAACAAGGCTTCCCTTATTCTGAGTTGATGAACAGGGATCATTTACCACTCTGAGTATCCTCAAAGGACATAATAATTGTCTTTATTCTACTAAAGTACTCCCTGGACTCTCTTTTGGAATCTAATGGCACCTCAATTACCCATATCACTTTCTGAAATTTCCTTAAAATTTGGGTTGTCGCTGCTTGATTTTCACCACAGGAATCTAGGGCAACAGTTTATCATTGCTTATAAAGTCACAGCAAAAAACATAAATCCTCACATGAAGTGTCCTTTTTAGGCATCCAGAATGAACACCAGGTTTCTAGACTCTACCCTACATCACTGTGAAATCACTTTTCATTAGCTACTTATGACCAAAAAAAAGGGGGAAAAATACCATACAATTTCTTTATATAATTACCCAAAACACTCATTTCTATCTATTTAACTGGGCCTTTTTTAATCTGTCAATGATTTGGGGTAATAATGTTCAGTCCTTGCTGGATGGATGAATAACTTTATATTCTCATATGCTATTACTAAAATTTAGAGAACTACTAAAAAACTAGTAAAAATTAGTTTGCAAGCATGTGAAAATAAAAGGGGTTGTTGGTGGTTATGGTTCCAAAACATAAGCATCTACACCCCTTACTTCTAGCTTCCTGAGGAACAAAATGAGTTGAAATGTGTTTACTATACACTTTGAAAAAGTTGGCCCTCCTCAGAAGACATCTAACCTCTTTTCCTGCTGCTGAACTTCCCCCAAGTAAATTATGTCCTGGGGCCTTGGTCTCACCCTACCCCCAGGGAATGTTTCTCTGACTACCTAGGAAGGAATATCCTGACTTTTCCTACCCAACTGAATTCCTTTCAGGGTGTGTGGGTAGCAGAAGCAACATCCTCTGCCAAGTAAAGCAGCAAAGTGCTAGCTGAACTTCTTCATGCTTTCAAGGGCTTTCCCAAAGCTCTTCCACACTTCAAAATGAGTCAGCAGATCCTAAACTCATTTTCCTCATTTGACCACTGTGGAAATGCTGAAAGTGAATTACATACTTACTTGGATGAGGAACAGAAGGCATGAAGTTCTTAGTTCAATATGATTATGACTTGCCAAACAAGCCAATCATTTTCTTTGATAATTGTTTTGTAGAAGTTACTGCTAAAAAGCAACAACAATATCCACTATTCGACTCTTTTTTTTTTTTTTTTTTTTTTTTGTGGGACCCTCACCGGCGACCAGGGAACGAACTGGTGCCATAGAGGCTGCTGGCAGAGCCTCGCAGCCCAGCGCTCAACCGCTGAGCCACCAGGGGAGGCCCTTGACTCAAATTTTTTAATATGTTAAAATCCAAAAAATTCAGAGGTATTTCTCAAGGAGAGGATCCTAAGGAATGGCATTTTCATAGAAAGGGACAAGGAAAAAAACTCCGTTTTCCTTAAGGGAAAATGTTTTATTTGTGGTTAGCATAAAACTGTGATGAAATATGACATTTCTATGCAACTGTCTCAGGATTTTCATTTATAAAAAATATTCTTTGAGTACTTCATCAAAGGAACTTGGTACTAAAAGAAATATAGGCAGACTACCAGCACATTATTAGTATTACAATTAATTTTCTGAGAAAAAAAATTCTAATCAAATTAATTTGTTATGATTAGTTACTTACATTTTAAATACAAACTCCTAGCAATTTTTAAAAGCCTAGAGAGAGATGAGATCCAGCAAATGTTGAATTCCATGCAAAGTTTGAGAATAAGCATTTTTCTTTTGTGCCCAACTCTGAATTCTACTTGCCCGGTCACAGGAACTGACACACACCAACGTATTTCTCATTTATTCAACAAGTACTTATTAAGAACCCACTATATACTAGACATGAAGATATAGCCCTAAACAAGAGAGACCTGACTCATGCCCTCAAGATGCCCACCATCTAGCAGACAAAGCTAATATGAAAAAGGATGTCAAACTTGTGAAATGAGCTAAGGCATTAAACAATTTCTCCCATCTTTCCTAACCAAATGCAAGCTCAAGACAAATACTTAATTGAGAAATAATAAGACATAGTTCCATCTCATTTTTTCTGCTTAGGTTTTAGCTAAAATGCCTGATAGCTAACATACACAATAGCATTATTATTCTGATTCAACCATTCATGTGTATAGAACACAAGTAATCTCTTAAAAGCAAAATTCTAAGTTTTGATGTTTGTACCTTGAGCATTATTGTTTTGTTGTGATATCTAAATGGGTTATTCTATTCAAAAGTGTTGATTCACAACACATAGTTTATGTTGTTTTCCATAAACTTGAATTAATTTAATGAAAAATAAAATTTGCAAATAGATCTTTTATTTTATGCATTTTTAATTCATTTTTAATTTTTAATTATTCATTTTAAATTTAATTAAGTTAAATTTAAATATATTTTTTTCAAATGTAATGATAGCTACCAGGTACTGAACATATATTATGAAATATGTAATTCTTTTTTACACAAATGCTTGTCAACCCTGTTTTCCCCCTAAAGCACTGTAAGGTATGATTGGGCCTATTTTACAGATGGGGAAACTGAGAGCTGAGAAGTTATGAGGTTTCCCAGTACCAAACCGCTGGCCAAAAAACAGGAATGAAACCTCTGTTTATTTGACTGGTTAATTTCTTCTTTCAGAATCCTAATTTTCCCATGGAGTTCTCACCCTCCAGGGTTGCAGAACTCTTCATTGTGCAACATTATGATATTATGTTAATGTAGTTAAAGTTTTCAAGCAACCAGAGTCCAATAAAGCATCTATGGTGCAATAAAACATCTGATTAACTCATGAAAATGAAATGTAAATAACTTCTCAGATAAAAGACAAATAAATGGAGGGTATCTAACTGTGAACTCTGCTAAGATGAGCAAACAGCCAAAGCACTGATACCGATAACCTCCAAGCGTGGCTGTGTCAAACACTCCCAAAAAGAGGGAAAATGATCTCACATTAAGTGGGGGTTGGCCTACAAACTCATTAAAAAACGCTGGCGCAGGAAGGGCTTGTGGTTTTTGGTTTTCTATCTTCAGTGGAGCTGGCCCCACAGCAGTTCCCAGAAATCACTGCACCAGGGTCATCAGCTCAAGGAAAGATGTCCACCCTCTGAGCGCACCAACAGATCAAGCCAGATCACTACCAGGATCACTTTTCAAAAATCATCATATGATCCCAGGAAACCATGGAGAGTTCATGAGTGACTAAGAATGTGAACTTGAAGGTCTAAAATGAAATGCATATGCATCAAATTGCTCTGTTCTCTCTTCCTAAAAGCTCTTCCCTGTCGTTGGGTACCCAAGTGAACAACCACGATCAGATGACAGCTCCGGAAAAGCTTCCACCAGCAAATTACAGAGTGTAAGTGAAGCTAAGATCCACCCTGAGGCTAAGTTTTCTAAGGTCGGTAGCGCTTTTAGGAGCTGTCTTTCCCTCTCTTGTACAGCGGCTTCACTACCCTAGAGAAGTGCTAAAACGTTGGCTGGGCATTAATGCAGGGGAACCGCTTAGAAAGAAACATGTCACTTTTGGCTTGGGGACAGCATGCTCGCCATTCAATGCCCTACTGGTTTCTTAACACGCATATGATTACTATTGCTACTCAGGAAAGAGAACAACTTCTGACCTTGAGCGTGCGGGCTAAATAAATTACCTCAGAACGAAAATGGTGAGATCTCATAACAGCATCTGAGGAAAAAAGACAAAAAAAAAAAAAAAAATGAGACTTCATTTAGTTCCTTGCTCTTCACCTGTCCAGTTACTAAAGATTTACTTGACGGACAAGGGTCGGGAAGGCACATTCAGACGCCTGGAATTCTGTGGGGACATCCTGGAGGGTGGGGAGGTTACTAGGCCGTCGGTCTCTAGGTGTATTCTCCGCGAGAAGTTTCCGGGAAAGTTCTGGGGCAGTTGGGGAGCCCCAAACTCTCCATGCCTTACTTTCTTCCTCTTAAGCTCCAGCGATGGGTGGGTGAAGGGAGGCTGCAGCAGCCTCAGACTCAGCTTCAATTACCCTTAGGGCTTTAGCAAACTGTCACTAAGAATTTTGCGTCCGAACCTCCCCTTCCCAGCTCTGCACCGCGGTGGTTACCCCAACCCGGGAGACAGGAGGTAGGGGATGAGGTGTGTGGGGTGGGGGGGGGGGAAGGAGGCAAGGGACATTAAATACACAAATGCACTCAGCCTGGGGAGTGGGCAATGTTGGGGCTCGGGGAGGCAGCGCGCAAGCGAGCGAGGCGCGCTTCTCTCCCGGTATCGGCGTAAAGGTTCCTCCTGGCCCGAAGAAACCCGCGGCCGCGTGTCTTACCTCGGCTCCTTGAACGGCCCGAAAAGACCGATTTCATGGGATGCCTCCCTTTCTGGAGCTTGCGGTGCCAGCAGCAGAAGAACACGATGGTGGCGATGGTGCCCAGCAGAAGCAACAAGAGGAACAGGGCACATTGGATGCTGTAGGGTCTCAGCAGGACGAGGAAAGCCGCGGCGATCATGGTGCGGGCGAGGCGTGGGCAGCTCGGCGGCGGGGCTGGAGGGCGGCGGCACAGGCACCCGCGCGGGGCGCACGCCGGAGCGGCGGGCACGGGCGAGCGCGGCTCAGCGCGTCATGCCCGGCGCTCGCGGCCTCGCGCCCAGCCCAATGGCTGCGCACCCCGCGCCAGCCGCGCTATGCGAGTAACCCAGGGCTGCGGGGAGCGCTTGCCATGACTCAGCAGTCGGCGACGAAGCAGGGACTCGGCGGCGGGGTGCCGCTCCCCTCCCTCCCCAGGCGCCCCCGCCCGCGTCGGTGCGCAGCCCCCAGGCGCAGCCCCGCCGGGGACGCGGCGGGCGGGGAGGAGCAGCGCTGCGGCCGCGGCCACCCCGGCCCTGCGCATGGTCCCGCTGGTGCCGCCAGCTTCGGCTTCCCCGAAGCCCCGCGCACGTGGGTCGGGGCGGGGACGCGGCGCCGGGGCTGCAGCCGCCGCGGCCCGATGGGGGCGGGAATGGGGTGCCGCGGCGGGGGCTCGGCTGATGACATCACGGCCCGGCTGCGGCAACGCGGGCGCGCGGACATGGCTGCAGAGGCTGCGGCGCCGGCCGCGGGCTGCGCCCGGGCCTGAGCGCCCAGCGCCCTCCCGCGAAGCCCCCCGCCAGGCCGCAGGTGCTTCGGCAGGGCTCTTCTGCACACCCAGATACCTGGGGCTTCAACCTATCCAGCCTCCCTTGACCGAATTGCTGGGGAGCCGGGCGTCAGGGGGCGCCAAGGAGCCGGGGGGAAAACCGTAAGGCGCTGGCTTGGAGCCTCCAGGCGGTGGCACCCCCACCTCCCACCTCCCCGCGCCCCGCCCAGAGGTTGGGGCTCTGGAAGATGCTGCCGGGTGAGCTCTTGCTGGAGGGGGGGGTTCCTCGCACGTTGAGCGTGGACATCGGGAAGGGCCTTTCCTGGGAATTGGGGTCCTCCAGGAATGGGAGGTCCAGCCCTCGCCAACCCCCTCTCTAAACTAGGAATGCTCCACCGTGGAATGCTCGGGTCTGCGGACGTGAACTGTTTCACCTCCAAACTTGCTGCAGTTTCGCAGCTAAGAAATGGGCACTTTAGATCCTTTAGTACCCATGCGTTTAGCGCAAAACCTTGACTCATCTATCTAGTGTATCTGAAGGGAGATTAGGGAACTGGCAGATGTAGGCAGCTGGGAGTTGGCTTGTAAATATTTTGAGGAGAAATTTTTAGGGAGTGTGAAGACTCCCTTACGCATACACCCCTTCTTGTCTCTTTGCCCCCGCCCATTTCTTCATAACCAACAGAAAGTATTGTAGTTGAGGGCCTGGAGATTTTACTGCGGTCTCTGGTGCCATGTCAACGCGGAAGGTATGGCAGGAGCGTGCTGTGCGCCTTTCTGCGGACCGACCGCCGAGGCCACCCGGCCGGGAAGCCGCTGCTGCGGCAAGTCTGCGGCATCTTGCGGCCTTGACCGCTAGTGCGGCACCGCGTTGTGCTGCTCCCAAGGCACTCCCGGCTTTCACTCTATGAAGTTGTCTTTGTTGTTTGCTTAAATGCTCACAAAGGAAAGTGCAATTATCGTGACAAGGTAACCCGATGCTGCGTTTGTGAAATTTGTAGTAACTACTAAGGTGAACTCTGGGACGTCTAAGAAACTGAAAAAATTGTGTAGTGAAAATGTAATGTGTAAAATTATGAAAAGCAGTTAAACAATCGCTGGCAATACGACTTGTTTGTTATTTGCTTGTTGGCGCTCAAATCAGTGTGGTTTTCCAACTAGATGAAATCATTTGTAAAGCGCAGCATAAAAAGTTTAACCATTGATTTTCTTAAGGCCTTGAACATATTCCCAGGTATAAGCATTAAAGGCAACTGCAAAAGGCATTGCTTAATGCATCCTCAAATACCAACTGCATTAGCATGGCAAGCAGTGGGTTAAGTTCTCCTATGTACAACTCATTTCCTAAAACAAAATAAACGTTCAAGTTGTTGGCATGTTGCATCTCATTTGTTTTGGGTTAAACATGGAAGGTCCTTGTTTGTCAGCGCGGTGTGAAAATGTTCAATTGTCAGAGTACAGGCTGCACGAACAGTCAGAATAGGCTTCAGAGGTCCCTGGAACTCAGGGGCTGACAGGTAGCACTGCATCATGTGCACATTGCTCAGAGGTTTCCAGATACCGCAGCCCACTGCAGTGAAAGATTGTATTCCTGTCCATTGTGCAGGGGTAATTGAAGAGAATCCAATGTGTAGCACACGGGGAAAGAAGGTATTCCTTACTGCATAGACTCAGAGTGAACTGGTAAAGTGATTTAAAACAACAACAAAAGTGAATTAACCTTCTGCAAAGGATTGGGAGAAATAACTAAAGGAATTTAGGAAGGTCATCTTTACTTTATACTTATTGACTAAAATTTGCGAGTGAGCTGAAGTGGCTCTTAAGTATCCTTGAAGCTTGCCTAAGCCCCCAAAAACTGCATAGTGACCAATTTGCTCCAAATCCTTCATTAACAACAAAAAGCAACTAAATAGCAATTATGACTTTCCAAACTGTTACTTTAGTACTGTTGGTATAGTCCTGAGTCTTGCTGCAGCCATTTATAAGTTTCAAATGCATACAAGAACATCATTTATTTCTCTAGGCAGGCAAGTGCTTAATGATCATGAAGTAGGCTTATAGAAATTTCTCTTCAGATGCATTCATTTCTGTTCTTTGCAGCAGTTATCTCAAGGATACTAAAAATAAGCAAACTAATCATTGAAAGAATTTCATGTTTTGGTTGCATTGTTATTTTCTGATTTGCTTGTGGCTAATATATAATATACTTCTCCAAATAATGACATGTTATTAATTGTTTCTTTCTGTGTGTTTATGTTTTGCCTAATGCATTGTGGAATTCAATAAATATTAAATCAGCCAATCAATCCTTTTGGAAGTTAATTTAGTAAAATTCATACATTTTCTTTCTGCTAGGTTCTTATTAAAAAGAATAATTGAAGCTGTATGAAAGTCACTAAAAAAAAAGGAGTCTGAGCATAGACGTGGAGGAGGAAGACCTGTGGTCAAATCTTGCATATCAAAAAGTGAACATCAAAATTAAAGTATATTTGAAAATTTATTCTGAATCTTAGTTGCTGGGGAGGAGACCAATTTTTTTTACTTGTTGTGATAGTGAGTTAACACTGTCACCTAAGAGAAGACAAATGAGCTGGGGAAAATAGTTAAGATATCAAGCATGTAAAAGATGAATCAGCATGCAGTTCTTCTTCCTTTCAGATTCTCAACCAAACTGAGAACACATAAACGAAAAGGAAATTGAAGTCCCAACTTTATTCAGGGTAAGTCAGATTGAAGAACATGGCTTAGATCCAAGGCCAAAATGGACTATATTATTCCTTTTCTCACTCAGCATGCCCACTCAGTCACAGCTGAAGAGTTCTCACCCTTTCCAAAACTAGGACAGAAAAGAACCCTACTTGTACTACTTACTCAGAAACCAAAGGTTAAAATGAGCCACTCCACAAGGCATGCAACATGAATGAGTAGGAAACAGATCATGCATGAGAAGGGAAATTTTATACATCAGCCTTGACCGTTAATGACTATAAGCTCTCTACAATTTCCCTCCATAAATCACTAAATCATTCCACCTCCCAATGATAAGAGTGAGTAAGGTGCTTTAATAAACTGGCAGAAACATCTTCTGCAGTACTTCCCTAGAGATGAGAAATTGAACACAAATTCAGATGTTATTGATTAGGAAGAAGAAAAGAGCCCACCTTACACTGGGTAGAGACCAATTAAGAGAAAGGGAGAAATTAAAGATGACTCAAGTTTTGATCGGGGCGGAGGAACAGTTTTGAATAAAGATGGCAAACTTAATTTTAAGCCAGTTGCAGTGGAGCTGTTAGAAGGACATCCATGTGAAATTACCCAGGAAGCCAATGGAAACATTTGCGGAGAGTTCAGAATTAGAAAGACTGGGAGTCATCAGCATAAATTATAATCTAAGTAATAAACATGAGGGGAAATGACAAAGGAATCGTAACTAGAAAGAACTGAAATCTGAACTTTGGAGCTGGCTTCCAGCTGTAAGACAGAGTAGAGCAGAAGGCAAAACCATGGAAATCAAGAGGAAAGTAGTCCAATTTAGTCACTTATTAGATGTACAAATGTGAGGTTAAGGAGGGCAAGATCTGAGAACTATACCTCTGCAAACCCTCCAGAGACCTGATTCATTGCAGTGGGAGAGGCTAAAACCAGATGTTAGTGGATTCAAGAGGATATGGGAGATGAAAAAGAGCAAAGAGCAGTTGTCCATAATCTTAAAGCTGAGTGAAGGCCAGGAAAAAAAAGTCCTTTTGTTGTAATAGGACTACTTGAACAAGTTTCTAGGAGCCAGCAGTGAGAGGGAAAGAGTTGAAAAGAGGGAAGAGGACATATTCTTGTGAGGTTTGTGCTTTAGCAAATTGTTTTAACATATCTTGAGTCCCCAGCTTGGTTCTTTCTGCTCTTAGGCTGCTTTTGACTCTGCAGAGTTAAACCGTCCCTGATTAATTATAATGCCTCCCTGCCATAGTCTCCTCCCACCAACTAAGATTCAGAATAATTTTTTAGAGAAAATTAAGGATTACCTTGGAACTTAGCCCAGGTTGTCTGTAAGCTTTTACTGCAAACCTCTACTGGAAGTAAATAAATTACCTAACTGGTAATCATACAAGAACATTATGTTGAAATATTACCCCCTTAAAAACAAGTTTAGGTAAAAATGACTAAAAATAAATTATTGTAAATAAATCATAGCACTTTTGGACTGATGACCTATTTGTACCTAAGCGAAGTTTTTTACTCTCAGATTTAAGTTAAAGGATTTGAGAGGACATCTAAGTAATAACCTGTTTATCCCCAAATTATTTTTCATGACTATCTCTAACCAGGACCTGTACCCACAATATTCATGTCCATATATCAAAAGGTAAAGGAGCTATAGCATCTGAAAGAACTTTTAATGTAATTTTGGAGGTGACTTCCAGCCACCAGGATCTAGAGAGCTATCATGTGAATGGGTCACTATTTTTTTTATTTGGTATTTGCAGTAATATGTCATTATCAGCAAATATTTCCTGCAAAGGACTTTATATTCATTTTACCATAATAAATATTTTTAAATTAATTTAAAGCCATCATTTTGAGAGAAAATATTTCAAATGGATTCATCCCAAATTGTTCTTTCAACATTTTAGAAAGTTTAGATCCTTGTTAGGACTTCTTGTCCTATGATAATTCTATGGGGGACTATGTCCCTTTTTTGAGCATTACAGCCTCCTTCAAAAAGTCTACTGAGAGGGCCTCCCTGGTGGTACAGGCATTGAGGACAGTGCTGTCAAGCTACTGCCAGCCACTGGAGCATGGGTTTGATCCCCGGCTGGCCAGGGAACAGCCCTCATGGCCCAACAGACCTCTCCTGTCTCACTGGCTGCTCCCCTCAGCAGTGTATTTCAGTACATCTGCCTGCTGCTTCCCACTCTCTCTGGTGAATCCTTTCACCTCCCACATCTCTGGCTTGCACCCCAGTTCTTGTATGCATAAATAAATAAATCTTTGGGGGAAAAAAGTCTGCTGAGTATGGGAGTTTAAAAACATCAAAATAATTGAATTCATCTAGTCTATAATGCTTTGCAGACAGGTTTTGGAAAGTAATCATTTATTATCCACAAGCAAATAGAATTCATTTATACAGTTTCCACACTGAGTGTGGGATTAGTCATGCAGGAAAGTACTAAATCATTTGACCAGAAAATTTACTCATAGTTGTATGAACTGCCAATGGAAAATTCAAGAGCTGTTCATAAATCAAATTATGAAACTCTTAGAGTTATAAATCACTGAACAGTATACTTCATTATTATTCAGATAGTGTAAAATATTTCCACCATTTCTAAGAATGGGCAATTTTCAAAGCAAGTTTGAAAGCTAAAGTTATTGCCTTCTAGATTCTAGATAAGAGTATAAGTTACAGGCATTTCCACATTATAAGTGGAAAAAGAAGAAAGAAGTAAGGCAAAAGGTTTATGTTTTCATAGTAAATAGATAATGAGATGAATAAAACTTTAATTAATGTCTTAACAAAATGATAGCTAAATTTTCTTAATTTCTCTCGATAATACTTTGGAGGACTTTCACAGTAAATGTTTTGTGCTGTTAGATTTGTATATTAATGTATCAGCTTGCTGATAGCCTGAAAGAATACCATCACTGAAAGAGGAAGTAAGTGTACCAGAGGGAAAGAATTGTGAGGAGTACCTGATAATTAACAAAAAAGGTTTGAGTAATACACATTCCAAAGGTTATTGAAATTATCCAAATATGATAGCATCCTTTGAACCTAGGAACAGAAAGAAAAGTACATCTTAAGATGTCTTTGTAGCCCCAAATATCAAGTGCAAAAGGGAAATATAGTAGTAGAGTTTTTATTTCAAAGGGGAAAGTCAAAAAACCTAAAGTCTATTCATGTTAGTCTGATCTCTGCTGTAGGAATCCTTAACCTATAATGCAGAGATAGGCTTCTAAGGAACTGAAATAATACATGAAAATGTGGGTCTCTTTGGGGGGTCTTGATCCATAGTTTTCATTGGGCTCTTAAGGAATTATCAGAGAGTGAGAGAGAAGAGTATCATCAAAGCTGTACAAATCCACACAGGTACCAAGACTTCTGAATGCAATTTCAAGTATTTCTCTCCATTTTTCAGCATTAGCATTACTTACATATATCCCCTGAGAGTGAGCAAAATGTCTCAAGCACTATTAGTCTGTAATGAGAAGAGGTAACTCTTAAATAAACCTATAAAATAAATTAAGGGAAGTCTCCCAAATGCAACAGAATGCTGCCCACCCTAAGAGTAAGTGGGGCTGGTATGGTCAACTGGGTTTTCTTGTCTTCTTAGGACTTTAAAGATTGGAAGAAAGATAACTTTCATTGGGATGTCAGTTCTAACCCTGGGAAGTGGGGGGATGTGAGAAGATAAGGGTTAACTTAATTCTCTAAATGCCTTTAGGCTAGTTAGTTGTTTGAATAGATTAACCCAAAAACACTGCACCTAAGTTTTAGTCTTGAATTCAGCATCTACAAGGATCTCCATAGTAAGTTTAAGAGAGGCACCCTCTCCGACATGAGCCCAGGGTCTCACAAGATTGTCCCTTCTATTTTTATTATTCAATGAATTTTTTTGAAAGAAAATATAAAATGTATGAATTATTTTTTTAATAACCTATACAGAGGTAGAGGAATAACTTGATAAAATTTGGGTGGGTTTTTAATTTTTAATGTTGCTCTATGTGATACGAAAATTGTTAGAATAAGAAGAGAAAATAATTGGTAGCAGGTAAGAGGGAAAACCACTTAAGATGATTTATTAAATAATGTGAAATATGTGACTCAGTACATTAATTTTTCTAATGCTAAACCTTTGAGAGTATGAAAGATTAAATTAATAGAAACATTGGTAAATGGTAACCAGTTATTTCATTAATATATTAATATAGGATATATCAGGGTAGATATTTGAAGGAGAAATAGCCTGTCCTTTCATGATTTAAGATAAATTAATATTTGAAACTTGAATTAATCTTGATTTTTATGCATAGACATTGATCCTTGCATCAAAATTATTATATTTTGTGAATTTTACAAGTTGGCCTAAAGCTAATTAATGTTCTAGGATTTGATTACTTAAAGCAAAAAATATAAAGATCTAATCTTGCTCTCAATTTTCAAGATGAATAGAATGTACTACATTAATCAAAAAATGTTAAGTGAGGGCCTCCCTGGTGGCGCAAGGGGTTAAATCTTAGCACAGTGAAGCTTTCAGCAGTCACTGCAGCACTACTAGTTCTATCCCAGCCAGGGGCGTGACCCACATGACACAGTAGACCTCTCCTGTCTCACCTGCTGCTCCACTCAGCAAAGTATTTTAGTCGACCTGCCTGTTCTGCTCCCTACTTTGTCTCTGGTGAATCCTCTCATCCCATTCCCCACACCTCTGGCATGCACCCCAGCTCTTGTATGAATAAATAAATAAGTCTTAAAAAATGTGAAGTAGGCCTCCCCGGTGGCGCAGTGTGTTGAGTGCCATGCTCTGAAGCTGTCTGCAGCCTCTGCAGCACGGGTTCTATCCCAGCTGGCGAGAATCCCACATAGCACAGCAGACCTCTCCTGTCTCGCCCGCTGCTCCCCTCAGCAGTGTATATCTGTCGTCTGCCTGTTCTTCTCCCTGCTCTGCCTTAAGTGAGTCCCCTCAGCCTCCCGCGTCTCTGGCCTGTACCCCAGCTCTTGTATAAAAATAAATAAATCTTGGGCCTCCCCTGGTGGCGCAGCAGTTGAGCGCTGGGTTGCGAGGCTGCCCGCAGCCTCTGCAGCGCCAGTTTGATCCTCAGCCACCAGCGAGGGTCCCACAAAAAAATTATAAATAAATAAATCTTTAAAAAAAAAGGTGAGGTGAAAGATGTTTATATGACTTATAGTTATCTAAAATAGAATTTATAGCTGATTCTGACTTTTCACTCTGCATCTTTGTTTCTAACAAATGGAGGAAAGACATGTAAATATTAAGAATGAGGAGGGAGTTGAAAACTACTACCCAGAGAAAAATACTCTTGAAACTAGTATATCTTATAAACAACTCTGTAGATGCTAAAACCATTGGAAAAATTGCCCAGAGTCCCAGAGTTTGCTCATACTTTCAGATATCCCATGCATGGCTATAGACTTCTCATAGTTCATAGGGATAGGTGACTTTATGGAGCAGGTAAATATTGTCTTTCACTGTTCTTGCCTCTGATGTCTGTGCTACTACCTCTCTGTCATAGCAGTTTTCCTGAGCACATGAAGATGAAAGTAAACCAGGCACATTGTATATTTACAAATAAGGCAAATGCAAGGTCATTTAGCCTCTGGCTCTCGTGCCAAGTCTGGAGCTAGACAGAAATTGTACAAATGATGAAGCTAATAAACATGACTGGTATCTATCTATTCAGGCTGCTGTAACAAATACCCAAGACTGAGTAACTTATAAACAACAGAAATTTATTCCTCATAGTTCTGGAAGCTAGAAGTCCAAGATCAGGATGTCAGCAGGTCAGGTTCCGATAAAGCCCCTCTTCCAGACTGCAGACCATGGACTTTTAACCACATGGTCATTAGGGCTAAAGATTTCTGTGAAGCCTCCTATGAAAGTACTGGTTGAATTAATGAGGGGTCAATTCATCCCCCATCAGGACTTAATTACCCCTCAGAGGCCCCATAACTTAATACCACCTCTAAGGGATTAGATTTTCAATATATGAATGGGGGGATCATATTTAGACCACAGCGACTGGGTATAAGGAAGCCAGAAGAAATAGTGCTATATCTCAGGGCTAGTCACAGCAGAAATGTTATCAGCTCGAAATTAAAAGAGAGGGGAAAGAAAGTGTTTGTTGCAACCTGAAAGGAAACAGTCATACAGAAAAGGCTATGAGGGGGCCTCCCCTGGTGGCGCAGCGGTTGAGCCCTGGGCTGTGAAGCTGTCCACAGCCTGTGCAGCGCCGGTTCGATCCCTGGCGGCTGGTGAGGGTCCCACATGGCACGACAGACCTCTCCTGCCACCCCCGCTGCTTCCCCCGCTGCTCCCCTCAGCAGTGTATTTCATCAGTCTGCCTGCTCTGTTCCCTGCTCTGGCTCTGGTGAATTCTCTCACCCTCCCACGCTTCTGACTGTACCCAGTGCTTGTATAAATAAATAAATAAATAAATCTTAAAAAAAAAAAAAGAAAAAAAGAAAAAGAAAAGGCTACTAGGAAAGTCTGAAGTAACCCCATGGAAAGGGCACCAAGAGGATAAATTGTCCTAACTTCCCGCTCTCCTTTCTTCTGATCTCCAGCCTGGACAATCATTGACTATACCAAGCTGGAAAGCAGGCAAGGGAGTCCAAACAGGTCAACTTCTAGACTTAGCGAGCATAATGGAGATGCTAGAGAAGGCAACAGGAGGGATAAAGAGAGGATCTCCAACGTTTGTTTCTGAGCAGAACTATAGTCTTAAGAAACTGTTGGTGATCAAGTCAAGACTTCAGTCTCTGAGGGAGTCTATGAGGCAGACACTAACATGGAGAATCCTGTAAAGGACTTGGTCAAGTAAAGAAAGCAAAACCCTAGTTATTGGAATTGATAGAATCTTTTTTGCAGAACTTATTCGATGATTCGTCTCCAAGTCCTTCTTTTTTAAAATTTTTTTCCAAAGATTTATTCATTTATGCGTACAAGAACTGGGATACAGGCCAGAGGTACAGGGGGTGAGAGCACTCACCAGAGACAGAGTGGGGAACAGAACAGGCTGGTTGACCTAAATACACTGCTGAGGGGAGCAGCGGGCGAATCAGGAGAGGTCTGCTGTGCCATGTGGGTAGCTTCCTGGCAAGGGATCAAACTTGCGCTGTAGTGACTGGAAACAACTTCATAGGTTGCGTCTTAACCCCCTGCACCACCATGGAGGCCTTCTAGAGTCCTTCTTTAGTCTGCTTATGGGTTAGCAACTAGGGTTATTTACTAGGATCCACTAGGGCCCCTAGTTCACTGATCTGTAAAGTGTGAATAATAATTGTACCTATCCCAAAGAGTGACTGAGAGAATTAAACCAGTTAGTACAGATTAAATGCTTAGAACGAACCCTATATATAGTAAGTACTCAGTAAGGATTAGCTATGTATTTTTTCTTAAGTGAACGAGACAGAATTGGCAATATCTAAGGATATCATATAAAGAAGCTAAATGAATTCCTTCCCTCAATAATGGTTACATACATAAAAATGCATGATATCACTGCATTGTTAAATTGGTTTTGATAAATTTATAGCTTCAGACTGTGGCCAGATAAGAATGTTTCCTTTGTTGTCCCATCATGGAAAGTTGAAAAATGACTCAGATCTTAAGCCCTCAAATACACTTAATGTTTCTTTGGCTCATGTATAATCTCCAGTCTAGTCTAAGTAATGCGATTATGGCTAGGCGGCATTGTTGAAACTAGGATCCTAAAGCATACTGATCTTCTTTTTTTATTAGATATTGCTAAAACAACTTGGAAACTGAAAATGTGTTTTGATGTCATTTGGAAATGGAGTAAAAAATGTGAGTAGAAATTCTCCCTAATGGCCATTAGTATAATTCAGTAATTTCTAGCCAGAAGTCAAGAACACTTTGATGAGAAAACAATTGTTTTACTCAGGAGAGCGCTTAGAGTTCCCTGGGAGAAGGCACACAATCCATTCCAATTTGGTTTTCATTCCTCTAGTATAGATAAACATTTGAAAAATAACATAAACAGCTCAAGTTCCACCTTACTACAAGCTAAACTGAAACTAGTAGCCCATTTCACAAAGCACATTAGACCAGCCTCTGAATATTTAGAAAAACTTTATCACTGGTCTCCTCGCACTTTCAAACTCCTTTGGAGGGGATTCTGACCTGGGTACTACCAGGGACAGTTTATGTCTGTACATTTCAGAGCTAGGTATAGAAAGCCATTGCAGGATTTTCAGGCTTTTCTGCCCTCCTGCCACTAGGATTGCCCTGTCTGATGGGGCACCTGCATTTTGTTACTTTGTTGTAAGTTATACTGTTTACTTCTGCGGACCATGGCAGCAGTATTGGGATATTCCTCAAGAGAAGCAGGCAGGAGGGAGAACAGGAGAGAGATAAGAGGAAGAATGCCAGAGAGCCCCGCAGAGTGAAGATTTGGGGAGGCTGGGGGAAGGCCTGCCAGCCTCTGCCTGCCAGCCTCAGCCTGCCAGCCACCCCCCCACCCCCAAGCTGGTTGCTGTAATACATGTAAAAGCTCAATGAAAGCCTGAGAAAGCCACCAAGGGCTCCAGGACACTGCTTTACCGGGTCTGCTCAGATCATAGATATCCTAGATATCCTGCTCTATCCCTTTCTGCCACTATAGCCATCCAAAATGTTTTAAAACTTATATAATAGCGTAATTTGCTTTTATTGTAATGATGTACTAAACTTTCACTATTTTTATCTAATTCATAATAGAGGGTCTCCCTTGTGACACAGGGGTTAAAGATAGCGCTACTATCATCAGTCACTGCAGCCTGAGTTGATCTGGGCTGGCAAGGAAGTGACCCACAAGGCACAGCAGGCCTCGCCTGTCTCCCCCGCGGCTCCTCTCAGCAGTGTATTTCAATAAATCTGCCTGTTCTACTCCCCACTCTGTCTCTAGTGATCCTCTCACCCCTTGTACCTCTGGCCTACACCCCAGCTCTTGTATGCATAATAAATCTTTTTTTAAAAATTCTTAATAGAGTTAATATTTAAATACAGAGGCAGATGAGACACCAGAATTATTTTGATATTCATTTAGTTTCCTTAAATTTGGTGACTTGTTTCTTAGATTTCAGAGGTATCTTTTGTTTATTTGAATTTCTGCATTAATTGTATCATTGAATTATTAAAAGTAAACCTAACTGCATTAAGAATTTATATTTTATATTTCATTTGTTTTCATTAATCACAAAATTCCCCTTTATGTGTTGTTTCACAGTTATGATGCGAATTCATAATTTCAGTGTTGCTTAGAACATTGTTTTTCTTTATTTTCTTAATTGAGGTAATATTGGGGGTACTCCCATCCGATATTACCCCTATAGTCTACTCACCACCAACTCACCCATATTCCACCACTATAGACCACTCTTCTCAAAGCTATTGGTCATAACCCATTAGTGAGTTGTGAAATCAATATAATGTGCTTTGAACTAGTACTTTTAAAAACTAAATAAACTATAGTAGATAGAATAGAAACTGAGAAAGTACATCACATGTAGTGAGGGTGAGTATATTTAATAAAACCTTGTTTTCATTTTTTGTTTGTGCATGTGTGTATGTGTTTTCTGGATCAAAATGTAAAGTGTGTTTTTTGTTCTGAGCTGTGGCTGAAACAACATTGAAAGCCGTTGGCTGATATCATCCATCCAAACACATATCTTGGTGTCCTTGTGGATGTGGTTATGTATAATCTTGTCTCCTACAACTAGGGAATTAATGTCTCTGTTAGTGAAAAAATAAAAATAAAGAAGGGCAGATAATTACATGACAGATTTTTTACTATCAGAAACTATCCATGTTTAATATATAGCCTTCTTCATAAAAGTGCTTCAGAATTTGCTAGTTGGCAAATAATAGAAATTTTGAATTACCCGTTTCTAAACACGTAACAGAAAATTGACCTGAAATCTACTGAAAAGTAGTCATTCTAAAGGAAGTCTGATATATCCATTCTGCTTAATCTTAAATGAATTATTTGTCAAAACAACTTGAGTGTTTTCTCTGTAATCAAATTATATTAGCAGGAGAAAACTTTAGTACAACTAGGGATAGTATAAAAACAAAGATTTAGAAACTGATTTCCCCCAGTTTTTTTATTGAGGTAAAACATATGTAAAATTTGCCATCCTAACCGCTTTTAGGTGTACAGTTCAGGGACTAAGTATATTCTCGTTGTTATACATCCCTCAACCCCATCCACCTCCAGAATTCTTTTCATCTTGCAAAACTCTGTATTCATTCAATAATAACACATATCCCTCCCCTGACCATGGTTCCTCCCAACCCCAATGAACCAAGGCTCTGCATCCATGATCATCACTAAGTAACATTTAAGAGGGCCTATCAGTTAAATCTAGCAAAACTCATTTTTATCAAATACTAACAATTTGTTTCAGGATCTTATAGGTTCTACGTGTGTCTCTCAAGTATTATTGTTAATTTATTAGTAATAATGTGCAGGCATGTAAGGCACTGAGGAAGAAGATTTACAGCAGCTCACCTACTTACTGTCCAGGAAAAGGTAGGAAGAGGAAGAAAAGAATGGTGATACAGTTTTAATTCCTTTTAAATATTATAACTGGCCTCCTAGGTCAGGCTTCAACAAACTAATGCTCATCTGGTTGCCACATGTTTTTTAAAGCCTATAAACTCTTTATATAGTTTTAAATAGTTGCAAAAATTAATATAAAAATAATGTCAACATATCATATGTGAAAATTATATAAAATTCAAGTTTCAGTGTCTATAAACAGTTTCACTGGAATACATGCATCGTCATGTATTTATGTACATATGTATGTATTTTTAGCTGAATACAGTGTGCTTTATTGGTGCTATATGACAAAGTGGGTCTCCCTAAAACTTCCCCCTTCTCCAGGAGGTCTGGGATGGAAAAGTGAAGAGGTCAGGAGATAGTTTATTAAATGATTGGAGGAAGGACTCCCCAGGGGCTCTTCCTCTTGTGCTGTCTCTGGGGTTTGTGGTTCAGGGCCCTTAGTCCTTGGAAACCATGCCTTGTCTTTTTACTTTCTTGACACTATCATTTAGGAAAGTAATATTTTTGTTGTGATATTTGTGAAAGCATTGCCTAAGCCATGATTACTAAATTTACTCCCACATTTTCTTCTAAGAGTTTTCAGTTTTAGTTCTCATACTAAGGTATGTGATTCTTCGTGAGTTAATTTGTGTGTATGGCATAAAGTAGCATTCATTCTTTTGCATGTCAACATTTAATCCTTGTCAAAAATCAGTTGACCATAAATGTAAGGATTTATTTCTCATTTCCATCCCAGTTATGTATATCCCTGTACTAGTACCCCACGGTCTTGATTACTTTATAGCAAGTTTTGAAATTGGAAAAAGTACTTTAAGTTTCTTCTTCAACATTATTTTGGTCATTCTGAATATCTTGCATTTCCATATAAATTTTAATATCATAATGACCATTTCTGTTAATGGCATATGTTACTGAACCAATAGTGTCAACAGTGAATTTCATTCATTCTGGTGGACTTGACTAAGATTAGCTATATGAATGTTTTCTGAAAGAGAAGTTGAATACTCTAACTTGTCCTGCTACACATTTCAGTAGCCCAAACATTGGTAAAATTTTACTGCAAATGTTTGAGCTCAGTACCAAGACTGAAATTTTTGTGAATGAGAACTTCCTTCATCCACTCTTATGGAACACTGAATGACTTTGGAAATTAGCTTTTATTGCAGACTTTATAATGTTTCTTAATGAACTCATTAAAAAATTATGACAAAATAGGTAGTTATATGCAAAGCTTACACTGAGTCACTGATGTGACTCAAAAGTAATATTAAACTGCTTTTTATACTTCCCTTTCTGTCAAAACTTAAAACAAGAAATAATGTTTTCATCCCACATGTATTTGCACTGGATATATTTTGCAAGTTAAAATTACGGTTATAGCATTTCTTTTCTAAACACAATGCCAATACAAAGGAAATTTCCATTTTTGAAAATACATTTCACTATGTGATTAAGGAGCTTCCACCTAACCTTTAAGTGAAAGTAATTAATCTGCAATAAAATGACATACTAGAAGGCAAATATCAGGAGAAGAATTTAATAAAATTCTGCTAAGAGAAGAATATTCTCAAATGAAATTATGAACTCATTTCGGAAGGCATGGAATTTCTTGGTGATTTTTTTGTACCATGTTGTGAATTTGCTACAAAACATTGAATACATACTTTAAAATGGTTTAAATGATGATTTTTTTTACTTATGTGAAGTTTATCTCAATTTTAAAAATTATAAGCTTAGAAGTAATATTAGGATATGATAGTAACTATCAGTGCAAAAGACATTTTTAAAGATGAAATATGTAATTTTTTATTATACTTAGCATTAGTAAATGGGCACTTGCAATTGATTTTAATGATAATAATACCTTGAATGTGTTATTTAAGTCCACTCTAACTAGTAGACCTGTTTTACAAAAAAGTTTACTCAGTTATTATTGGTATATTTTATGATATTTTAGGAATGAAATTTTGTGAATAAAATTTTGTGAAAATTATTTTCTCTCACTATATGAGAACCCACTTAATTCTCTCAATTTTGACTCTTGGTTCTGCAAAGTCTAAACTATTTACTATCTGATCCTTTTTAGAAAATTTTTTTAGGTAAATACACTAATGATATCTCTAAGGAGTAGTTGTTTGTATTTTCTTTTAATGTGGAATGTTCTTAGTTATATATCCCTGACTCAAGATTGCTTGTGGCACTCCTAGAATCATTGGATTTTTAACTTTCTTAGAGAATTTCATGTAAACTAAATGAATCTAAGTCATAAAATGGAGACACATCACAACTTAAACATACCTATGTGTGTGGACACCATCAAACCTCATGCAGAAGTCTCATCTATTATTCTAGACCTCAGAGTACATATATCATTGTGAGAATGTAGTACCTACAAAATCAAGAGAATGCCCTAAACCTTTCCTGACTCTACCTGCACCTCTTGATTTGCTTGCACTTGAGATTATTAGTCAAGTTTGATATTAGGTAAGATGTCTGATATTTAAGATTTGACGGTCTAGACCTATGTGTTAACTCAAGTGCTATTCATGAATTTGAAAACCTGAAGTCAGTCTTCAGAGTCACAGCAAGCAGTTTTGACAAGATCATCCCACATATTATTTTTAACATGGAATAGAAGATAATTTTTTTAAAAATAGGTAAAAAAAGACCATAATTTCTGAAAGAATAACTCAGTATAATTTTACAATAAACATGTTACTTTCTGCTCTACAGTCCACATATTTCTTGAAGTCTTTTTAAAGCACATTTCTGTCTGTATTTAAAGTTTCATTCTTTATCATGAAACATCTTTTCATGAAAATGAACATATTCAAGTAACAAGGATACTATGACCAAATGTGCTGTATTATCTTTATATAGCAAAAGTTAAATTTAATCTTTCAACCATATCATATTATCATCCACTTTGTCAAGTTTTGAAAAAGGATTATTCCCTTAAAATTTTGTGAAATGTACTGATGCCTTCAAGATATTTAATCCTATTCTTTATAATACTGTTTTTCAGCTTACACCAAGGAAAATCTTCTACCTCAAAACTTTAATATCTTCCAAAAGACAAAACAAAATAATCTTTAAACAATTTTTATTGATTTCCCTTGAAATGTTTTGGTTCTGATGCAATCTGCTATTATTAATGTCTTTTTCCCTAAAGATATGTAACCTCAGTCCTCTGAAAAACTATTTGCCAAAATGTATAATGTTTCTCCATTTTTTTTGAGACTTCTCTTAACTGATTAACAAGAAAAATCTTGTAGAGGTATATAAACTTGTAGAGGCACAAATGGAAACATTTAGTGAAAGAAATTTGAGTGGCTAGTACCATTATAAAACATACAATTGTAAAATATTATGTATCCTCTTTTTTTTGGTTTTGTTTTTAAGGAAAAACATTAACCTTGGGGATCCGTCAAGAATAGTACCATCTACATGGACATTCCCTTCTACAGTTTCAAAAATCTTTGATAATTAGTTGAGAAAATGCAGAAGATCTTGCAAACAGATGAAATTACCAATACCCAAACTCTTAGAAAAGGAAAAAGGAAAAGGACAGAGACAATGGACTCAGAGAATGCAAATAGTGACATGGATAAAGGACAGGTTGGTGTTTTATTGCCTTGATACAATTTTATTTTCTGGCTCAACCATAAGTCCATAATTCCTTTCATAATTCATATTTTATATATAGATAATTTCCCCTCTTCTATTAATTAATTCTCCCCTTTAATTCTTTATGCAACTGGGAATTTAATTTCATATTCTTTTTTTAATATTGAACAAGTTGAGTTAGAAGCATGCTCAACATACATTTTTATTTGCTTCTATTTAAGTATGCCTATTAGCCCATTGTTCAAACATGTGAAATAAAATATTCTGTGAAATCAAAGATCAGCAAACTATTAGGAAATATTTTTCCTCTCAAAAAACGGTGGAGAAATTAAAATACCTCGCTAAAAGGTATTTTCAACAGCAGTTTGTGGCCCATCCTCATCACTAGTTTGGTTAAGATTCCTATTTTCATTTTTTAATGTATTCACTTATTCCTTTTTTATTTGAATTCCCCACTCCCTTTCTCCTACACTTTGGACAACCTATCAATGTGTTTATTCTGTATCTTTTTATATGTGTGTCTTTGTAATACATGCATTTATGCATGTTTTACCTGCATGTGTTATTTCATTTTTTAAATGCATACTATCCATGTCACATTTAAAATATTTTTCATATTAAATTTTGAAGTTTTCTTCATATCCCCATCCCATCCATCCTGTTTGCACTTCCCCACCCTACTAGGTAACCAATTAATTTCTTTTTTGTTTATCCTTCCACTGTTTCTTTGTTCAAATAAAGCAAATGTAAATATAAATTCTTATTCCCTCTTTTGTTATAAATAGTAACTTATCAAGTATGCTGTTTTGTATTCTAGTATGTTGTAAGTTTTTAGCTTAATGTATATTGAAGATCTTTTTATTAGTACAAAAAGGACTTTCCTTTTTACAGTTCCATATTATTCCACTCTGTGTATGTACCATTTTTTGTTTTACCAGCCCCCAATGATGGATATGAGGTCTTTCTGATTTTTTTCTTATTACAAACCACGGTACACTGTGTAATGTAATGGAAACATCATTTAGTACATCATTTGTACACCTCAGTCTGCTTCTGATTTTGCAGTTAACACTTTTTGACATCTGTCTATATTATGTCAATATCATTCCTATTATCTACTGCATCTCACTACTGCACAATTTAGATAGTTTACATATCCTTTCTTCTAGTGATGCCTCCAGTATCTTGCTGGACAAACTAATAACCTACTAGTAATGACAAAATAATATCCTCTGGCAAATTCTTTTAAGAAATTGTTAATATTTCTTATAAATAGAATAAACACATAAGAGAGTGTTTTATTACTTGTAAGTTCTATGTTAATTTCTAATTCACTTGACTAGATACCATAAGATTGCTTTCTAGAATGTCCACACAGCAGCAATGCATAAGGAGTTCCTATATTTGTACTCCCCTACCAACACTTAGCATTTATATCTATATTTGTCATTTTTCATATTTCACAGGAGAAAATATCTCATTGTACTGTTCTAATACAGGTTTGAGGGCCCAGTGTTTCCTTGAGGGTTAAAATAGCCATATGCTCTTCCAGGCCAGTATTACGATTTCTTTAGCAATATGGTTTCCTTCAAAACTTAATAGCTTTCTAAATTATATATTTCAATTTGTTTCCATTGCAAATAACTATAGCCAGAGATCTTATTTGCTCATAAGTAACTTGAAAACTCTCCTCATTTGTGATGGCATGTGTTCTCAGCCTCTTTCACCTCTAATTTGTGAGATAATCTTCCATCTCTGCAAACTGGCTAGCACTGACAAGAAGCAGCTGATACACACCATCCTTCTTTCTTTTTCCAAGCTCAGTAAGCATTTAGTTTGCCTTCCAAGGTATCCAGGGTATGGCACCAAGATTTAACAAGAGCTTTCCAGAATGTCATACCTGTGTTCTTCTTTATATAAATTAACCTCAAAGCAGTTCAGACACATCTCAGGTTTTGGATAATACTGTTTCTAGGTAGCAAAAACTAGATTAGTTGTTACGTATCTTACAAAGACCCAAAGAAAACAGTGACGTATATAAGATGAAAGTTTATTTACCTTTCACATAACAACAAGAGCAGTCCAGCTATGACAGCTCCACAATAGTAGGGATCCTTCTAATCTTGTTTATTTAACTTCCTCCACACTCAACCACTATCTCTGAGTAGGATGACTACTCCAGTTACCACTACCATCTTTTTTCTCTGCTAAAATCAAAAGGAGAATATAAGCAGGAGAAGGTATGCCCATTCTTTCAAAGTCAGGATGTAGCAGTGGTACACAAGGCTACTACTCATATTATCTTGGCAGGAAATTAGTCACAGAAGCACACTGATCTGCATGGGAATCTGGTAAATGTAGACTGTAGTTGACAGCTATGTGTAGAGCTAAAAACCTATTATTATAGAAGAACAAACACCTGGAGATAACCTGCAGTCTCTGCCACTGTGCAGATTCCTATTGAATTTTTATCTTTTCTGTTGGACTTCATAGTCTATTATGGTGGGATTCCTGGTCTAGTCTTAATTATTTGCATAAATACTACAAGACAATCAGTATCTTGTGGTTTTAGATTTTGCAAATATCTGTCCCAATATTATATTTGTCTATTAACTTTATGCCTTTCCAATGAGGCTTAAAAATTAATAAGCTTTTACTTAATTTTATTTCTTGTAGGAACTTGCTAAAAGTGGCAAGAACTAGAACATATCTTCTAATATTTTCCAGTTTCTCTTTATGCAACTATGGTTTCAATAGGCATCCTTCAGGTTAAAAACAATCTCTTGTTTCTATTTAATCAAATTCATCATTTTTCTTTAATTTTTATATATCTAATGTGAGAACATTACTTGCCCACATATTATATTAATTTTTGCTATTATATATTATATGTATACATATCACACATATTTTATAATGAAATATGTATAGAGATACATATATTTGTATATTTATAAAATAAGAATGAAGTTGAAAGTACAAGTTATAAACATACAAAAATGCAATTATAATTTCTATAACTGATTTCATCTGTCTTTCAGTTCTGCTTGATATAGAAAATGGCCCCACCTGATAAGGCAAAAAGTACTTAGACTTGTTCAGTCACAGTGTGCAGTTCATCACAGTGTTCTAGTTTAAAAGAGTTCTTTTAAGATATTAGTATAACTTCAGGATTTAAAGCTCAATGGATCTTTAGTTCTCACCCTCCTCCACTTGCTATTTTTTTCCTGGGAAGTAAGCCAAGTTTTCAAGAATTTTACAGAGCATTCCAGCATCTGGAGAGAGCTACTAGTCTTCTACGGAGGTTCTAACTGCCCTGGCTGGTTCCTAGATGTCAGTATTACTGTCGAGCTACCACCAGTCTTCCAGGGACATTTGGGGTTCTATTGGCACCAGCTGCTGAAGTTTGCCATCCTGGTGCCCATGACCATTTTTCACATAGTTCTGGCACAGTGGGGGCTCTATACTATAAACTAAGCTGTTTCTGTTTCACCCATTCCCTCAGCACTTTCCTATCTCCTGACCAGGATACCGCGTCTGTTTGGATTCCCTAGCTATGATACCTAGGCTCTGAGTCTCTAATCCCTTTGTCTAGAATACCAATTTTGATCATTTCTGATTTATGACTGAGAGAGATACCATGTTGCCCTGATCATATACTGACATAGAGCCTCTTTAGGGACTTAACAATGCACTACGCAGCAAGGAGCCAACCCTCCTGTTCTAGGATTGCCTTTCATATATCTGAATGTTTCCATCATATCCACTACCCCTGTGATCCATCTTCCTTTTCCTCATCCCCCAAAAGGCAAGTGCAAGGAGGGACAAAGACACTTGAGTCTGATTTCCAGCCATTCCTCTTTCTTTATCCTAAGGCTCCTCCTCCTAGCACCAGAATGTCTTTTCCCTCCCGGTGGGTGCAACAGGAACTTCCTTTATGCCATTCCTCTTTCTGTTCTATTCTAAAGTTTATTTTAAGAAACTTTATTACTCCAGGCTTCTAGGTTTGGATCTTCATAGGTTCTCTATGCTCCAATTTTCCAGATTTGGATTTATAAAGATAGATAGATGTCTATATATCTATGTCTAGCTAGCTAGCTATATATATATATATATTTAGAGGTCAGCTCAGTACTTTGAGAAAATTCTTGTCTCAACACAGTCTGGATTTGACAACTCAGGAGCATGCATTTTGGGACTGTTGTCTTGCAGTTGACCTTAAAAACTACTTCTAAAATTAAAAAGTAAACATGAATGCTTTGTTTACATGAATCTTTTCTCTGATGCAATAAATCCCAAAATTGGCTTCATGGCATAGTCTTCACAGCAAAGCTGTGAATGAGGAGTTAGAGGAGAAATGAAGATTGTAGATAAATACGAAGATTGTTGTTTTGTTGATTCTACTCTTGTGCTGTCTTTCTTATTTGTGTTTTTAATGACGTTTGAAAGTCAGAATCTTGATTTCTGTTTTGAGAGAAATGTGCTAGGTAGGACCAGCTCCTCTCCCGGAGCTGGAAATCCTTAGGAAAACAGAAATTTGTAGGTCTGATTAATTCTTTGTCAGCATACAGAACATAGGCTAAGCCATGAAAGTTGCTTTGAAGCCTCTTGTATTGTGACTGCCTTGTATTTTAGAGAGACCCATTTTCGGGAAATGCTTTTCTGCCCGGTGAGAGCTCCAGTGAGGATGAAGAACCTTTAGCAGAGTTGTCGAAAGAGCAATTATGCAAGAAAATAAAAAACCTGAAACAAAAATTAACAAATACCCGGAAAGAAAACAGCCGACTTCGACAGTCTTTGGTCATGCTTCAAGGTAAATTTTGAGAAAATTGACACTTTTTAGATAAAAAAAGAAAATAAATGATGAATGAGAAGTATTGCAAATCAGCTGTCAAGAGTGGAAAAGAAAACTAGTACCTTAGTTAAAAAAAAAAACACATTTTAAGAAAGTCAATGATTACATATTTTAATACAGAAGCACTCTATCAAAACATCTACTTAATTGCCTAAAATACCTTAAATTATTCTTACAAAATACCAAATGTGTTCATTTAGTAGCATTCAGTGGTTATTTATTGAGCATTTAATATAGGCCACTCACTGCACTAGATCTTAGAGAGAAAAGGTTAGTGAAATAAAAATGTGTCAAGGTGCGCATGATGTGCTCATCTCATTTTCTTCTGCAAGAGAACTCACTAGAAAGTGAGTCTGTTGTGATCCATTTCGGAACCACTGGAATTAATGATTTCATATATTAAATTTCAGTTTTGGTGTTGGGAGGGTTAGTTTAGGAAAATAATCACATTCCATTATAGGCATATAAAGGGGAAAGGTCAACATGAGCAAATCTAAAAGCATTTGGCATAATGCTTTTTTGTAAGATCCTATATTGTGTTTCAGTGCTTATTTTTCAAAAATTATGTTTTCTATTTGCAATTAAACACAATGTACTATTTTGTACAACTGAAAATTTGGAAATTATATGCTCTGTTGGGCAGCATTCTGTTGTAAAAGAGTGAATACTTAAAAACACTTGAAAATAAATCCCTCGGGCTGCTGTGTGCAGAATGAGTACAAGTGGTAGAAGGAAGAAAGTTAGGAAGAATTCCCTGGATGATATTGTAGTAATCCCAACTAACACAATGGCAGCCTAGTCTACGATGCTGCCTATGGAAATAAAGAAGATACTTTCACAGTATTTTTGGAGGCAGAAATTACAGGAGACAGATAGAACATGTGACAAGCAAGGTTGATAGAGTAACAATTCACATTAATTAATGACTTTCCTCACAATATTTATTAAATTGAAGCCTTTATAGTTTTAAATAGAAACAGCCACATATGCATGGAAATAAGATGTTTATTCTATTGATGAGCCATTATTTCTTTATTTTTTCAATTTTAGATATTTCTTTTTTGAAATGGATGGTTTTCAAAGATTTCAAAATTCTGTTCCAGAATTTAACGTAAGATAAAAGTCTGTTTTTATAAAGTTAGCATAAATTACTGTTACTAATTAAAAGTATTGATTGGGGAGTCACTTGGCCATGTCACTTTACCAAGCCTTCGTCCCTAGCTTTCATTTCCTCATTACAAAATGAGGGCTGTCTATCATGGCTGGTTCCTACAAGGATTGAATGAGATAGAGAAATATTTTAACGTTCCTGGTACATGATAGGTGTTTAGTAATGATAATTGTTACTGTTATTTTCTCTTTTTTTAAGCACCAAAAGTTCAAACACAAACCCCAAAATAAAATTATTAGACAAAATTTTATTATAATTTAGATGAGAAAATTCTAGATGAAAGAGTAGCAAGTCAGTTTTAATAGTACGTGAAAAGAATCACTCTGATCAGGGTCTTCTCTCCCACACTCCTGGATTGCTATTTCATTTCCTTCTCTCTTTTCTTCTCTCTGCCAACTTCCCACACCTCCTCCTGTATCCTCACTCTCAGTTAATGACTTATCTTCCTACTTCATTGAGAAATTGGAGGATGCGAGTAAACTTTCATATTCCTGCATATGTGCTTGTCTATGCTCCACTTTCGCTTCATGTCCCCTCCTCTTCTCTACCCAAAGGCAATTATTTCCATTTGTACATCAGATCCCATTCTCCTTTGCCTAGTCAAGGACATAGCTCCAAAGATTCTTCCCACTTTCTCTTGAAAAATCAAGTTTTCCTTCTCTAATGCGTCATTCCCATTATCAGAAATACTATTATTTCTCCCATTTAAAAAAATAATCATTTCTCCTCCTCTTACCTTATTTAAGGAAAAAAAAAAAAACAACATTCACTTCTCCTCCTCTTACCTTATTTTTCTCCTCTTTATAGGAAAACTTTTTTAGGTGACTTCAATCTACAAACTGAGTTCAATTTCCTTCTCTATTGTCTCTGGATCCCACTTCCTTATCATTCCATTGTAACTTCTCTTCTCATGATCACTAGTAGCCTCCATATAATAGTTTGCTTGAGCTGCCATAACAAAGTACTATAAAGTGTGGAGCTTAAACAAAAAACTCATGCTTTCATTATTCTGGAGCTAGAATTCCAAAATTGAAATGTCAGCAGAACCATGCCCTCTCAGAGGGCACTAGCAAAGCTCTCTCTCCTTGTCTGCTGGCAACATAATGTGAATCTTCACATGTTCTCTCCCTATATACTTGTTTCTGTGTCCCCCTTTTCTAAGGATCCTAGTCATTTTGGATTAAGACATCCTAATGACCTAACTTGACATTAGGACATCCTAATTTTAACTTGATTACATCTGTAAACACCTTTCTTCAAATAAGGTCTCATTCTGAGGTGTAAGGGTTTAGTACTCAAACATCTTTGGGCAGAATGCAATTCAATCCATAACATTCTTTGTACTGTCTTTGTACAGGGTGTTTCCTCAACCAGATATCCACATGGATTGTACCTTCACTTCAAGTCTGCACTCCAATTCATCCTTTCCCTGCCCTCCTCCCCACATCTAAATTTTCAACCTCTCACCAACAATTTTTGTCCCCTTCCTTTGCCTTCTTTCCTAATTAATCTACACAACTATATACAATCTATTATTTGTTTAATATTTTCTGCCCTCCTGCAAACACACACACACACACACACACACACACACACACACTAGAATGTAGCTCTTGACACCAAGTAGTAAAGTTGTCTATTGACTAGACTTCAGGTAACAGGAAGTCAGAAACTGCCAACTCCATCTGCTATAATCATACATGCATGTACTTGGCCAACAAATATTTATGAAGACCCTACTATGTCTTACTATCCTAAAGCCCTAGGAAAACCAGTGAATGAAATAAAGACTTTTTTCTCTCAAAGTATATAGAACAACAATTACCTAAATAATTGTGTAATTAATTACATAATGCATTAGTTGGTGATAAGTGCTATGGAAAAAAAGTAGGGGCAATAAAGAAAGACTGGGATTTTAGGGAAATGGGAAAGTTTTAAAATTTAAAATAACATTGTCCTAGTAGATATCTTTGTGAAGCTATATTTTGGAACTTGGAAGATACCAGAAAGTTGAAATTCTATGTATAAACCAAATAAGAAAAGGCTCTAAAATAAGAATGCATGCTGGTTATTTATCTTTTGCTCAGTAATGTTCCTGAATAACTTTGAATGAATGAATGAATGAATGAATAACTGAATGAAGCATCAGGGCTGTTTGTATGTAAAGCATACTAAGAAAAATGGTAGAATATATATGCCATTCAGAATGCAAAAGATGTGTGTGTGTATGTGTGTTAACATTTGAATAATGTTTCGTGGACTAAAACTGATCAGAACAATTATTATGTGAAAGGAAATAAGTGACATATCTATTTTATAGCAGGGTATCAAGCTGGCTAAATTTATATAGAACGAATGTACACTTATGGAAAACAAAGCATCACCTAAAGGTCAACTTTGTAGCTAATAAGATTTCAGGAGAGTGAAAAATCTTTGTTTTTCCCAGCTTCATTTAAATATGGACAAAAACTTAAGTTAAATATTTGAAAATCTCCTTTCTTCCTTGAAACCCACCAAAAGTAAATTTAAAATGCATAAAAACAAAGACAACAAAAATTCCAGAGAAGATGACATTGGTCTATAAAATTTTAAAGGCTGAAAATAGATGACTGAGTGGTGACTGACAATCTAGAGAAAACTGAAAGCTGGTGTCTGTAATGGAGGTTGGGATCCTGACTTTTGATGGTTCAACTTACAATTTTTTTTACAATAGTGCAAATATGATACACATTCCCTGATGAAGCATACTTTTGAATTTTGATCTTTTCCTAGCGTAGCGGCTATGCAGTAACATATGTCTTGTATGCTGGGCAGCATCAGTGAGTCACAGCTCCCCCCCACCCAGGCATGTGATCACCAGTGCACCACACCGATACTCTCCCAACTGCTTTCTACTTTCAATAGAGTATTCAATAAATTACATGAGGTATTCAACACTTGATTATAAAATAAGCTTTGCGTTCGGTTTTACCAAATTATAGGCTAATGTAGGTGTTCTGAGCATATTTAAAGAAGCTAAATTAAGCGATAATATTCTTTTTTTTTTTAAGATTTAGTTTATTTATTTATTTATTTATTTATTTATTTATTTATTTATTTATTTATACAAGCACTAGGTACAGTCAGAAGTGCGGGAGGGTGAGAGAATTCACCAGAGCCAGAGCGGGGAGCAGAGCAGGCGGAAGGACCGAGGTACACTGCTGAGGGGAGCAGCGGGCGGCAGGAGAGGTCTGCGCGCCATGTGGGACCCTCCTCAGTGGCAGGGGAGCAGCCGGGGATGGAACCAGCGCTACAGAGGCTGTGGGCAGCTTCGCAACCCAGTGCTCAACCGCTGCACCACCGGGGAGGCCCTTAAGCGATAATATTCTATAGGCTTGATGTGTTAAATGATAACCCCATTGTAATTTGAGAAATATCTGTGGAGATAGAAAATTTAAAAGAAATGTCAAATTATTGAATCACAAACTGGGATTACAGTAGTGCTGGTGGTGTTAGGAAGGGTAGAGTCATTGAAAAACCTATCAAAAGACCCTCTCGGACCACAAAGTCACAAACACACTGTTCCCATGGAGCCTGCACTATCACTCTTCACCACAGTAGGAAAAGGAGGTTTTTCTCCCCAAAGAGATTGAACCAAAGTTCTCAATTCAGGGAAACTGGGCACAGCCGAGGGGAAGAGTATGATTATTTGAGGAATCCCACTGACGTACAAAACAGATCAAAACAAAGAGAAAAATAAACTCAGAGGAAACAGAAGCAAAGAAGTGGACAGAAGAAAACTCCATGA